TTAATAAAATTCTATTAAAAAATTAAAATATTCTAATTTTTAAAATAAAAATGAAGTTATTTTAGTCTTTTTATGATAAATTATTAAAATGATATAATTTTAAAATATTTTTATCTAAATTTTTATAATATATTCTGATTCTTATTAATCTCCTATTATTTACATACTACCTTGCATGAAAAGAAAATAAAGCAACAACCAGTTATTAAAATGAAATTTTCTTTGAACAAAATAACAAGTCCAAAAGGTACTATATAATTGTAACTGTTTTGGACCATATAATTTAATTATTAGATAATATAAGTCATTTCATATTAAAAACTTAATTTTCTTATTTAATAATTCTTGTATTTTAGTTAGACACAATTTAAATTATAAGATAAAAAACTCATAAAAAATTATCATTTTATACAAATTTTTTTTAAAAATATTACACAACTCCAATAATTAGATGAGTGTGCTACCTAATGTTGAAAACTTCTCCTCCTATTCCATAGTTTTTATCTTATAGCGTAACGCAGTACAAACAATAAAGCATCAAACTCTTAATAAATTATCATTACACAAAAATTTTTTAAGAAAAAACTATTCGGTAGAAAGTTATTGCTTTATCACACGGATACAAGAAAAATTCAACTAAGCATTTAAAAAAAACTAGATGATACCTGTGCCTCTCACATAGGTTACCTTATCATAAAATATATAATTTATATTTTAAATATATAATTTTTATATTAATAATAATATTATTTACTCTAAAAGATAAAATATAATTATATTTAGCAGGTAAATATAAAAAGTAATAATATCCAATAAATTAAGTAAATTATAATGAAAGAAAAAAAATTAAAAGTTTTATTGGCCATTGAATTAAAAAAACACATTTAAGTTTTTGCATAATGTGAGGAAAACTATAAAGAACCTACATCAAAAATATTAAAAAAAAAATTTTAGATGAATTCTACACAACCTTTCTTTACATTGGTATTGTTATTCAATATAACTATCACCAATAAAGTCAAAATTTTAAAATTTCTTATTATTATAATTTTGTTTTTAGTGAGGATGCCCTCTTAAGAATTGTTTTAAGTCTTCAAATTTCCCTTTGAATCTTAAAAAAGAAAAAAAAAAAGGGTTTTTTGGTAGACCACTGGATAGTTGAGTGGTGTAATGGTTATATTTTATTTTGTACAACAATAAATATATTAATGAATGAATAAAATATTATTTAGCACAAAAAACAAAATTTTACAAAGCACAATAGCATGTTTATATTATAAATCCATGATCACTGCATACTCTTTCATCCCCGTATCCTAAAATTTCATTATTTTGCATCTACGTTTATTTTCTTAAATGCAGTCTCAAAAACCTATACAAAGAAACAAAAAAACATCTATTTATCATTACACTTTTTGATATGTAACAAATATAGGAAAATGAAATCCATATCTATATAAAAAATTCTTAGTTAAAATTTTAATTAA